ATGAGGCAGCAGCAAGGTAGTGATGCGGTGTTTACGCATGTTCAGGTCGGAAGGTTCCCAATGATAAGATAGCTCCCTGCCCTGAGAAAAGAATTTGCCTTTAAAGAAGGGAGACAGATCATAAAATAGTCCCAAAGTAAAAGTACATTCAGGTAGTGACAAGTGCTACGAAGCATCTGAAACAAGGCAACAAGGTGAAGAATGACGAAGGCAGGGGCAGGGAGGGATGGCTACTTTAGGCGGCTGAGGAAGGCCTCTCTAAGGGGGTGGCCTTTGGCCAGCGGGTGGGAGCAGAGGAGACAGGAAGGAGGGGAGATGAGGCGTGGGGGCAGGGCAGGGAGCTCACCTTCCACTTCAGTTGCAGGGGAAGCTGTTGGATCCTTTGAGACAGGGAATGATCTGCACTAATTTTGCTTTAGAAAGATGGGGCTCCTTTTGCTGCCCCACAGTGGCTGTGGCCACTGCAGAGAAGTTGGGGAGCAAGGGGAGAAGAGGGGGAACTGTTCGTGGACTGTTTCAGTAGCACTAGAGAGTCGCCACAGCTTGGGTCAGGGTGACGACGTGGAGATGAAGAGAAGTGTCAGGTGCTGGGTGTGTTTTGGAGGTAAATCGATAGGACCTGCTGATGGGTTGGACGTGGGGCGGGAAGGAAAGAGGCTGAACTGAGGTTCTCGGCCTGAGCAGCCGTGGAGAACGGTGTCATCTTCTGGGCTTGTGCAGATGGGGGAAGAGCGGACCACAGAGACACAGCTGAGCTTGTCATGAGCCATGTGGTGTTCGAGATGCATGTCAGACACCAAGAGGGACGTCGAGTGGACACGAGCGTATTGGAGTCTAGAGCTCGAGGGAGCCCTCTGGGCTGGTGTGAAGGCAGGAGAGTCGTCAGTGCTCAGATGGTACTTAAAGCCCTGAGACTGAACAAGAGCCCAGGGAGAGGACTCAGGGACCGGGCAGAGGCCTGGCAGGCTGCCTGGTGAGCCTGGGCAGGAATGCGGATCTTCTTGCTCTGTCTCATTTGTGGGAGTGTATTTCACAGTTCCATTTTTCCCTTAAAAGAGAGAGTAGAAGTGGGTGGGGTTATCTAGAAAGAGAAAGCTGTGCCTTACTCCCCCCCTTCTCTCTCTCTCTCTCTCTCTCTCTCTCTCTCTCTCTCTCTCTCACACGCACACACACACACACACACACACACAGCACTACAGTTCTATTAAATAGAAGATCCCCATCTAGCGGTGAATTCAGCCAAAGGGCAGACACTTGATCCCAAAGGCCCATGGGGTCTTCATTCATTTAGTCAACAACTGTTTGTTGAGCACCTACTGTGTGCCAGCATTGATTCTGCATGCCGGGGACACTGTGGTGGACAGGACAGACAAAGTCCCAGTCTCACAAAGCACACACTCCGTTGAGGAGAGGCAGACACAAGCAAGTAAATAAATAAGAGAAGTACGAGTTATGAAAATACAGCCAATGAAATAAGCAGGGATGTGAGAGAGAGTGGCTGGAGAGAGCCTCAGGTCCGGTGGTCCTGGAGAGCCTCTCTGACGAGGGCAAATTTGACCAAAACCCAAAGGATCGGGATGGATTTAGCCGCTTGAAGATCCTGGAGAGAACTGTTTTAGACAAAGAGGACCGCGAGTAGCAAGGCCCTGGGACAAGACAGAGCAAGACACGTGCCATATAGAGGCCGGTGTGCCTCGAGAAGAGTGACAGTGGCAGAGCGAGGGACAATAAGGGTGGAGGGGTTGGCAAGGGCTGGATCATGGCAAGCCTGCTTTGGAGTTTGTGGCAAGGATTTGGGATGTCTTCCCCCAGTAGTGGGAACCCACAGCAGGGCTTTAAGCAGGAGAGGGAACCTAATCCAGGCTCCATTTAAAGAAGGTTCCTGTTTGTTTCCTTCCATGGGGGGGTCGGGAGCAGAGCTGGTGATGACAGGGATTGGGGTGGTGGCTGAGAAGATGGAGAGAAGCAGGCAGAGCGTGACATTTTAAACACGGGGAAATCCATGGAACTTGCTGGTGGACTAGATGTGAAAAGTCAGAGGAGGAGAGGGACCAAGGTTGGCTGCTAGCTTTCAGGCTCGAGTAGGAGGTGGTGCATTTACTGAGCCCGGAGTGTGGGAGAAGGCGGGCTTGGTGGGCGGAGGGAGCACTTACAGTGTGAATTCACTTTGGGCGTCTTAAGTTGTTGATGCCTGAGAGATCCACGTGAGATGTCAAGCAAGGGGTTGGAAATATGAGATGCTTTGAGGAAATGGGTCCCATTACCTTGGCCCAGGTGCACCAACTCAGGGCACCCCTCCATGCAAGCCCCACTCCCCCACGTCTCTTGTTTCCTTCTAGACTGTTCCTTATGCCAGTACTTGTGACATGTCCAGGTGTGATCAGGCCTTGGGTCCGAAGGAAAAGGACTCCAAGTGACTTCCCTTTTCAGTTTTCAACCCCTGAGCCCTTACAGCGAGCTCTCTATTTCCCAAACCTTAGAACCAAACCCCGGGAGTGAGCTGGGAGCTCCCAGTGACCCTCTGTCTCTCCGCAGGTGAGTGTGCCCCGGGTCCTGGTGTTGGCTGCCTCTGTGGGCTGCGGGCCTGCGAGTGCGACAAGCAGTCTGCTTACTGCTTCAAAGAGAACCTGCCCACCTACGAGAAAAACTTCAAGCAGTTCTTCCTGAGCCGGCCCCGGTGTGGCAGGCGCAAACTCCAGTGCTAGGGGGGCCACGGGAAACCCTTGCCCGTCAGCATCCGCTCTAGGATCGCTTCCGGGAAGCCCTCTCCCATCATCCCAACAGGCTCCAATCCATGCGGCTCACCCGCCAGCATCCGGCTGGGGGTACTCCTTTGTCATTCAGCACCAGAGGGCTGGAGAACAAAGACAAAATCCTGGCATTCAATGGAGGGAGACAGACCATACGAGCATCCACAAGTCCGTAACACATTCCGATGGCAGTAGGGGTAGGAGGCAATGAAACAAGATGACAGCATAGAGATGTCCCCAACACCCACCCTAGGGAGTTCCCAGGAGGGAAGAAGCCCAAGGATCTTCCCTAAAGTCTCCCTCCACCCCCACCCCAAACCAGGATGCAGGGCGGACTTGGGGAATGGGCCCACAGTCCAGATCTAGTTGTGAGCAGAGCAAGGTCTTGGCACACACGCCACGGATCCTTGAGGCACACTCGGAGCTTGTCTTTCATTGGCTCGAGTTCTGCCTTCTGAAAAGGCTCAGGGGAGAGAAAATTGATGCCATCGTCATCTCTCAGGAGACAGAGCATGAGAGCATCAAAAAGCGACACCCGTG